TTTAAAAAATTGTGAAACATATACACTGTATCCCTCCAAATAAATAAAACTGTAAAGAATGATGTGCAGATTTTTGTGTGTGTGGCCATGTGTGCACATAGCGTGTGGCCGAGAGAAAAATCATTGGATGAAATAGCCAAATGTGGTTTCGCTGCACTTGGTGCCCTTTAAAGGGTAATGGAGCATTGGAAGGATTCAGGGTTCACCTTTAATCAGGATATAGAAACTTAACATCAAATATAGTTTCAGGCTCATCTCTCCCCTCCTTGGTCAAAAGCCAACGATAGTGAAAATCTGGCTGGATTGGGGACAGTGCTTCCTGTAAGCTGGAGCACTTGGGCAGCCACCCAGAAGAGATTCAAATGCTGCCCAGCTGATTAGCAGAGTGTCCACAGCTGGCAGCATGGGTTTCTATTAGTGGTGCACATCCGCACATGCCTCAGTGCACCTAAATTTTATTCTGCACACAGATGGAAAAATTAGAGGGAACATGAGTTGGAGAGGTATACTCTCCTGTACCCCAGCAGCTGCCTCTGCACCATAATGAGAAGAGGCTTTCTCTCAAGAGGAATATCCTGAAGAGCAGGTGATCTGACTGACGGCTTTGCCACATACTCCAAACAGGAGGCAAGCATATAACAGGGGTGATATATTTTGGTTACCCTATTGTGCTAGCCATAGTTGCCACGGTTGCCTGTGTTTCCAACAAGCACTATCCCAGGCTTGTGGTGCAGCTGGGGTGTTTGGTAACCTCCCTGCTTTTATCAGCCTTTCCCTCCTTCTTATCCTTTCTTTAAAGCCCCGTTGTGATGTGCACAGAATGGTGACTTCTGTGAGCAGCTGGGCAGATAGCTTGTTGCCACTTACTGTGGTGGAACCTCTGTGAATGGGTACACACATTCAAAAACGTTCCATACGAAATCCTGGCTTCAGTGAAATCCGTGGCAGAAAGCCCCATTGACTATCGTTTGCATCCTCTCCCAACCTATCACATCTCATCCTTTTCAGAAGGTGAGCTGTTGGAGGCAGAGATTCTTGTGCTACAGGTAGGTTTTCCAAATATCGGCTCCATATGTTTGTGCAGTACAAGGCCTCTTGGAGTTATCACAATGAAAACAATGAGCCTGATTGCGCTCAGTTGTCTGGCCTAATGTGGAGCTTAATGCATGTTGGGGAGACCTTCTGAAAGGGCTTGCATTGGCTTCAAAAGCCCCTGAAAGAGTTCAGTGTCATTTGGGGCTTAAATAGTCAAATGTTCATAATCTTTAAAAGTAAATTCCAAGCTTCTGAGATTTTTTTTTTAATGTAGAGGAATGAGTTCATTTGACCAGTCTCTTTTCTCAAGAACAGCCATATTGGGTCAGACCCCAGCTCCATCTAGCTCAGCATCCTGTCTTCCGACTGTGGTTAATGCCAGATGCTCCAGAGGGTATGAACAGAACAATCATCAGGTGATCCACCCATTGTCTTCCATTCCCAGCTTCTGGAAGGCTAGGGACACCAGAATCCGTATCTCTAATTGGGCTGAAATGGTCTGGTGGTTAGGGCAGAAATCTAGAACTTAGGAAACAGGAGTTCAGGTCCCTAATTCTGCCCTCCACCTAGAGTTTTTGTGGTATCGGGCAGGTTATTTAGCCCCTCTGTGCCTTTGTTCTCATCTGTATAATGGGGATAGTAGCACTTTTCTGCCTCAGAGAGGTATAAATAAAATAGACCGAAGGTTGAGGTGCTCAGCTGTTACTTAACAGTTGCCATCTTAAGTACCTGAGACAGATCCTGTACAATTCAGCTCATGTAGGTTCTTGTTCAACATAGGGGTGTAATAATGTAACTAATGACCAAACGCTTATTGGTTAACGCTGGAGACTACATGCATTTCCCCCTCCTCACGCCAGTCAATTTTTTAGCAGGATGACCAGTAGCCCAGCTCAGGTCTTGGACCGGTTGCAAGCCAGGACTACCCCCTTCTGCGGCTCTTCATTTAAGTGTATTAGGAGCCGGGTGGCCAGGCAGCCTGGCTTAGTCCTGTCTCACACTGGGTCCGGGAGCTCAAACCCCCGCTTAGACAGGGGCTGCTGCCATCCCGCACTGCTGCCTCTTTATCAGAAGCAGCAGCTCAGGGTGACAGGAAGCCAGTCTGCAAGGGGAGATCGTTTTTAAACTGGCTCCCCTTGTGGACCCAGCTCCTGCTTAGCACCCCAGGCTGCTGCCTCCGCGGACTATAGAATAGTTGACTAACTGATAAGAATTAATGAGGTCATTCAACTATTCAGTTAACGATAGATAAGATCCCTAGTTCAACTACAGACCTGTCAATGGATCCAGTGGGCTCAGTAATAAACCTAGTTATCTTACGCACTTCTAAAAGGAAATCTTGAAAGCATATATAAAAATACAGCTTGATCTAAGATTAAGGTCACTTTTTGGCTTACAGGAATTGCAGCCTATTTCTGAGTCTCTGAAACTGAGTTCCTATTTAATGTATGTGGTAGAGAACAACATTTTGGGTCTACTTGTGTGTTCCCAGAGCAGTCTAGTAGCAAGAGTCTTTCTAGACAATGTGACACATTTTCTGCTTCCATGCATTTTATATGGGAAACGGAAGCTCTAATACTTTTTGCAGCAGGGAAAGGAGAAATCCCTTTGGTTAGAGAAGTACCTTCATCCCCTGACATTCCATTCAGGTTTTCCGATTAAAAACTCCCAAGTGTGCCTCAGGAACACTTGGTTTGCCATGTAGTTGTAGTCTTGTTAGTCCCAAGATATTAGAGAGACAAAGAGGTTGAGGTGGTGATCTTCATCACACCAACTCCTAGCCATGAAAGAGACAAGCTTTCAAGCTTATCCAGAGCTCTTCAAGTCAAAGAGGGCAAAAATCGGACAGCCTGCCAAAATAAACGGGAATATTTGAGCGCTGGGGTCGTGTGGCTGCCCATGCAACATCAGATACTGTCCAAGGAATATCTGGGAGCTACCACATCAGTTCTAGTGCTGGGGTGAGAGATTGAAGTAGATGATTATAGCCATATCAGGTGGGCTTCTCTCTTAGAGGCGCTACATGCACCACACAAGGCAGAATTCTCTCTCTCTTCGCCCTCCTACCCCCAGTACATTCAATCCTCTGGTTGGCAGCCAGTCTGCTCTGTTTGATGTCACACACCGGTTGGGCCATAAAGCTGACACTTTGACTTACCCAGGCCCTGACTTGGGGTAGGGATATGAATGGGTAACCAGTAAATCAGTTGCCTGGTACACCTCACCCATTTAACTGGTTCCCTGGGAGCATCCCCATGAGGATCAGGAACTGCCTGCCCCACACGTGGGGAAGCAGGGGGAAGGAGCTGGCCCCCTACGCTTCGGGCTGCTGCTCCCTGCAGGGGATCCCACTTAATCGGTTAACTAGTTAAACCTAAGGTTTGGCTGGTTAATTGATGAACCATGATTTTATATCCCTCACTTGAGGGGGTGGGGCAAGTCCTAGATTCATGCATTATAAGGCCAGAAGGGATTATTGTGGTCATCTGGTCTGACCTGTGGTCATCTGGTCTGACCTAAAACAGAGGCCATAGAATGTCCCCAAAATAATTCTTAGAGCAGGTGATTATTTTAAGAACATCTTTGAAGTGCTAGTGATGGAGAATTCACCACGAGTGGCGGTACATTAGTTCCAGTGATTAATTACATTCCTGGTTAACAATTTACACCTTATTTCCATGCAGTAGATAGGCAGGTGCTTACATCCCATTGAAATCGGTGGGATTTTGCCATTTGATTAAGTGCTATCCTGAATAGGAAACCCTGATAATGCTCCTCCTTGGACCCATACTTCATGACAGTAGGATTTTAATCCGCCTGGATGAGATGCTTTGTCAAGAAAGAAAATATGAAGTGGTTTCAAAGTAACTTTATTAGTAAAATGATTGTTTAATGCAGTGATGGGAAACCGAGGCTAGCGAGTGGGGCCACATAAGTGGCCCTCCTTCATCTCAGTGGATCACAACATTGTTGCAACCAAGATGGTCTCCTGGGATAGGGTAGTTTTGCTGACTCTGCTCGTATATCTAGAATTTGTGTGTGTGTGGGGGTGCCAATTGAACTGTAGCAGCACTTTGATTGGGTGCAGAGGTTGTGCGTGGTTCGCTCTGTCAATGTTGTGTGGAATTAGCATGCACTTCACTCCTCGTGCTCTTGCTTTTAAGTGTGTGTCACGTTAGTAATTGTGGTAGGAAAAAATCCACGTGGATGGAAACCAGCAGAATATGGCAACCTTGCCCACAAGCAACAGTAAACAAAATGTCTCATGGGCTGCACATACATGTACGTAGGGCCTTTAGGCTGCAGATTGCCCACCCCCGTTTTAACAAGTAAACACCATCCTTGGAGCCAAGTCTAAACACAATTATGTTACTACGAGCAGGAGGAAAACTTAATTTGCATATTCCTAACTACTGAAGTATCCTGTGGGCAAGTCTTACTGCCCACCACCATCACTGTCAAGCACTTTTTTACATCTTTGTCCTCAGAAGAAAGATTATTTCTACAGAGAAATTGTCTTTTGTTAAGGCTCTGTACGGATTAAATGAGCAAAGGGAGAATAAACATCTTACAAACTCAATGACCTCTGTTTCATTTTGATAGTGCAGAAGTAGGTTAAAGTCCTGAAGCAGCACTGTGTTCTAGCAGCATATCTACTAGTGTGTTGACTAATTTTGGTATTGAAAATGAACATAAATTTATAAATCAGCAGAGAAATTACATACTTGAAGTAATAGCACATTTTAAAATACTGCTTTCCTGCTTTAAGTTTCAATTTTATACATAGTGAAAAAAGATCTTTATGAGACACAATAACATTTGATTTATTGCAAGAATATTTCAATATGGGAATTTCCCCACCTCCAGGATTTATACTTTCCTCTTTGTTTTCGAGTTCAGGGAAGTGGTGGGCTTGGGCTTAATTCTAGCTAAATGAATTTTTAAAACATGTTTTTGTCTTTCAGTCAGTCTCCTGAGAACCTTTTTCTGAGTGATTCCAACTTCCGAACAAGTTTGCCATGGTAGGGGGTTTCGATCCCTTGCCAGGTTTGCCCTGAACTATGAGTGAATACGTGTAAAACTGGTGAGTCAACAAACCCAAGTCTAGTATTTCCTCCCTCCCACCCCCTTTGCTGCTTTGGTATGTTTTTTGTTTGTGTGTGTGTGCTTAAAAGATGTCACTATATTTCTGGTGTATAATATTATATAATAATATGATTTAATAATAGAAACCCCCCAACCTTACATGAAAATGCAAGATATTGTTGCAGATCTTTGATGATGGGTTTCGAGTATCATGATACAAACAGGTATTGTGAAAAACTGAAGCCATGTTGATAAGCAGTGTCTAAGCATGGCTTTGCTGGCACTGAACATCACAATTAAAAATGGATATGTGGAGTCTTTTTGCGATGGCATCGTTATTGCTTGTCTCCCAAAGGAGACACAACCAGAGAACAAGTAGCTATGATTATCTTGCCTGGCTTATATCCCAGTGACAAAATGGTGGCTCTGGTACTCCGAAAAAGTGTCTCATCACATACTTCTGCCTTTTTAGAGGGACAGCACATAGCACAAAGTTTTCCATTGGTCTAGATATCTAGCTTGGCTTCTCCATTGATCTGTATGATGCAGCCTAGACAACTGGGAGATGGAGCTGTGCCTGTTTCTCTGTTAATTTAAAGTTGTCATTTACCTCTGCAGCTGTGGATTAATCCAGTTAGGCCCCTTTTGTGACGGGGCGCTCCGTTCCATTTTGTGCATTGGCGGGCAGTTGGCGCTCTGAAATTCCTTCCCGCGGCTCTGTCAGCCTGGAAAAGATGGTTCCAAAGTCATTGACAAATGGAGATCATTCATGACAGGTCGCTCTTCTCTTTACTCCCGTCCCCTGTCCTGCTTTCTACTTAAGAACCAGGGTAGATGAACAGGGGTTGGGAAAAAAGCATCATTTTATGTGCAAGAAAATTAGAGGATATGAATAAAGAGGCTTTTAAAAGTAGGAAATATGAGTAATTAAATTGCATTGGAGAAGGGAATGTAAATTGTTTCTTGAAAATAAATTTGGGTTTCTGGCACATATTTAATAATATCCCTCGGTGTATTAGGAAACCCATTTCCATTCAAAGATTATAAAAACACAGAAATTCACACATCAGTGAATTGTGATTTTTTTTTAAAGGTTCTGTGCTCTTTTTTTCTTTCAGAGGTAGCATAATTACCATGTCATTTAGCAAAGATTATAATAACTGCTCAATTTTTACCGACTGGTGTAGTAAACAGTTGAATAAACCCATATGGCATCTCAAAGTGTGTGTGTGTAAAAGAGAGAGGAGAGAGATTTCTACTAGTTTCTTCATATATGAATGATCAAACTTACTAGCATGACGAAGATCCTAAAATGGGGAGCAATTTCAGATTTCTCTGGTGATGTCAAGCTGGGCAAGAAAATCATCAGTACTCCATAGCAAACTGGTCTATTGGCTTTAGTGATGGTGCTAGCTAATTAATTTTGTTTCCAGGAAAGCAACATAGGAAACCTTTATAGGTATGCAGAAGGTATTTTTCTCTTAGTAAAGATCTCCTTCTCTAATACTTAAATTTCCTAAAATAACCATAAACACAGAATTTGTGGCGTCTGAATCCAGCTGTGCAAGACTTTAATAAAGGTCTAGGTCTCTCTGAGCATGGCATAAGCTAAGTGCAACAGCATATGTTATTATGATAACCCTGTGACATTCCCTGTAATGGAACTCTGTCTGTTCTTCGCAATAACATCCAGAAGAATGGAGAGACTTTAAAATGTACTCATGAGTGCATAGGTTGAATTATGAAACTAAAAACCTGTTGTTGACTAGTATCTTGAGTAGAGAAATGTTCTAAAGACAGATTCTGTCCATAGCTTCAGACAGAATTTGATAGTTCAGGGTGATTACAGTGCTTCCTTTCAAACACTGGACTGATCAAGAAGAAGAGACATGCCCATATTTCTTGGAAATCTGGCTGATTTTAGTCCTCCATTAAAATACCGTGTTACACATTAGCCTTTAGATCTCTGAACACAATTTAGCTCCTGAAACACTTAAAACACCTGCAAAATAATAACGTAAAACAAGTGAGACATTTCTGAGCAGCCGCTGGAAAGGAACCATTTGCCAGAAATGGTGCTGACACACTTATTTTAACCCCTTCTAGCTTCTGGTTGCATCCTTATATCAATGTGTTATTAACACCTTGCCCAAAATTCTCCATAAAGGAATGTAGGGCTGGTGTAAGGATGACTTGCTTTTCCCGTCTTCCTGTTCATCACCCAAGGTGCAGTCCTTTCTCCTCTTGCAGTAAGATCCACCTTTTAAAAATATCATTGCTGCTTTCCCCAGTTGAACCTTCAAGGGGATGTCAGGAATTCATTCACTGCCTGTAGGTTTTAAAACTTTCCAGCTTATTGAGTAACAAAATTGTTTCCTGCTAATTGTATTGACTGAATATTTAAAGCCTTTGGAAGTAAAGAGTTTTTTATTTAAAGCATAGCATCCACATATATACTATTTTATGGAAGGCAAAGGTCATCTGGGGCAAGCAGCCAAAACAGTCAATTGTCTCATTGCAATACATAAGAAAATAAGATTGAAAGGTGTGGTAAAAAGGTTTAAACAAGTTGCTCATTATTATAATGGGTCTGTCTTAACTTGTTCTTAATTATCTGTAGAGATTTCTGTTATTTATAATTCTCCTGTGATGGCAGGGAAGCAAAGGACCATAGCTTGCTCTCTCGTCAGATTCATACTAGTATAAATCAGGAATAAATGTACCTAAGTCAGTGGAGTTATACTAGAAGATACCCATGGAACTGATCTTGGCCAGAAGTTGAACCTGATTCTCTTGCATCTGAGTATGGGGGACAACCAGTCTGCTATTGGGCTAGGTCTTAGCATGTTAGTCCGAGAAGAATCTGCTGTTATGTTTTCCTTACTACTGTATCAGTGGCTCAAGAAACACTTTTGTTTCGCTCAAACTTTCTATCCATGAAACTTTTCTGCTGCGGGAAGGGAAGTAATTTTAACAATTTAATATACTACATAATATGTTTTATAAGCTGGCGCGAATGATCCTAAGTATTTTGGTCTTTTTCATAACACAATGAACCTAATATTGGTAAAAAAAAATACACGTCTTGGCTGCCACCATAAAGAGAAGCTAGATTTAATAAACAGTTATGAATGTTGGCAGCTGCCTATCAGATTGTATAACATTGGCTATAGCACATGAAGACAGTGTCAACTTACATTTTATCTCCGACGTATTTTCAAAGCATTTATTTTTCTTTCTCTTGAGTCCTTAACCTAATTTAAGTTATATAATTGGCTGAATATTTTTCCACAGAGCTAATTGGCTAGTTGCCAGCGTGGAAACCATTGTCTGACTTGATGATGATCAGAAATTAACATGACATTTGCGTGGTGGTAATGGAATATATTAGTAATGTAATTCATGACTGTAAGAAAGAGACCATCGTCCCCCACCTATGATCAGCAGGAGGGGCTCGCAGGATGATGAAATGCTCCCAGCAGGCACCTCACAGCAGTGACTAGCCAATCTCTATGTCAAATTTAGTTTTAAATTCTTCAGACAAAGCTGTAATGCTTACCAATTAATTACTACAAATGTCAATTAAAAATCTACCAAATAATATGGTAACATTAAATTTCAATTAAAAAAATTACATTTAACAAAGAGGATATAACATTATTTTAATGAATTCTGCTGAAGGTGACAGTTTATCTAGATCTATTTATACCGTGTAGGTGGATCTAAATTCATTGGATAATGTTAACCATGTTACTTCATTTACAGATTAGTTGTGAAAATTATTTCCACTGTGGCTATGTCCTGGAGGAGATGTGGTGTCAAGGGGCATTTCTCATCCTGAAAAGAAAGGGGAATTTCAAGCTTTAAGTACAGAAATGTTTTAACACTTAAAATGAAAGATCTATCATAGAACCTTCTTACTAGCTGAATTCATGGTATATCTCAGAGTTTAATATTAAAACCGAATATAGATTTTTTTTTAAATAGTGGAGTAAAATGAGACCTGCGTTTGTTGTGAATGTATTTGTTTTCTTACAACAGTTTCCCAATTAAATCTGCTTTGATGTAGATGTTTTCTATTCTTTGTGCATACAAATAATTATGTTAGCAGGCTTCTTATCTACATGTGAAGGTAGTAGACTGTATTGAGCAGGGTTTCACTAGTATGGCCCCTAGCAAAAACTCCAGTTCAACAAGTTGCTGAAGCAATCACATGACTAATTCCATAAATCAGTGAGATTACACATGTTTAAAAGTAACTAAATATATGCCAAAGTACCTTGCTGAATCATGGCCAAAAGGGAATTGCCACAGTTAAACTCATGTACTATGACAAAAGTTTGTATTTACCTATAGTATATATGACAAACTTTTAATAAAATAATAATGTATTAGAATTATGACATTGTTTGTGTTTTCTGTGTTAATGTTGTAACTGAAATGGTATATGGAAAGTAGTAACAGGATGTTTTATTGAATATAGAAAATCTGACTGCATATTACTGGATGTAATATGTAAAATTCTTGGAGTTTTTGAATAAAATACAAAGGTACTGAAAGCCTTTGCAATCTAGAGGGCTCAAAGAGGACTGCTTTCTTATTGGTGGAAAGTAGTCCCCACCCTGGCATAGAAGTCATGAAGGTATGGAAGCACAATTGACAGCTAATATTTATTCTCTGTTCTCATAATGTTAAATATCAGGGAGTATAGGACACCAGAGAAAATAGATTTAACAAGCCTGATTTCTAAAAGTATTGTAATTTATTTCCATCAGCTTTTATTACTTCCTTTTGACACTGTCATGTCTGAAGTAGTGTATAGGGAACAGGACATAGTAAAGACAAGTATTTTTGATTGTTTCAAACCAGAGCTGGAAAAATCCACCCTACAGTAGCAAATGAAATGCTTTCTCTTGCTAGTGTGGGGGCCTGCGCTAACAATTTCCATAGGATTTAAGAATATTTTTTAATGAAATGTTAGTCCCCTATGGCTGTGAA